ATCCAAGCCGACTAGCACACTGCTACTTGTAAAAAAGTAGCAGCACCCAACGTAGAGTCTCATTACGTGCAGATTCCGGAGACCGCAAACCTTTGCGACAAAGTTAGGTCCAAATGACCACAAAGATATCCGCAATAAGTACGTCCTTGATTTTCATTGAATGCGAAACACACCCCCCTACACACACACACACACACAATCTGTTTTGTTCGTGGACACAAAGACGAGGTATACCCAATCCATTGATAGAACAAAAACAAAGTATAAGAGTGATATTTTAACTTGTAATATCTAAGAAGGCAAGGGTATTCAATGGAGTAATTGCTAATACTTTAATTGTTAACATTTTATGTACTACTTGGCAGCAACATCATGGTACTCTAAAGTTCTGTTTAAATACCTTATGTATTTTAGCATCAATTAGTTGTTTTGTCATCTAAGATTTGTTTCATCTTTTGAATAGAGCAGTTTTGTGTTTGTGATGTTTTTATTATAAAAAAAACCCTTATGGTTTTTAAACTTATTTGATTAATCTCCTTCAAATCATATTGTAATATAGAGATCACTTTATATCTCCTTTTTGAAGACATGTTAGTTTTTTTTTTGTTTTGTTTTTTTTTTTAAATTCAAATAGTCTATAAACAATATCCTCTTACTAATGAAGAGATCTTCCAAAGACACTTATATTGGAATCTAAGTAGAACTTAAACAAAAGAATCAAATTTAGTTTTATATTGTGATCTTCTTGATCTTTTTTTAGCCTTTTTTTATATCTAACAAATATAAAAACTTTTGAATCAACATCATGAACACAATGTATATTTTGAGATGGAATTTTAGACGTATCTTAAAAGTTTTGTAAAGAATCTAATGAAAAAATTAGACTATCATATTTTGACTAAATTCTTGATTTATTTAAAGCTTAAATAGATCTTCATTCAATCTTTGCATTAATAAGAGCAAAAAAATCTTTGATACAATAATTTGCATCTAAATAAAATCAAGATTTTTAAAATAAATTCAAATAATTTATAAACATAGATTGTATTCTTATTAGTCAATGTATTCTTTATCTTGAATATAGCATTGAGTATCAAAACCCATGATTTGATATTCTTATCAAGTCAAGTTTTATAAGTGGTTTTGAGAGTCAGAGTACTTGTTGCAAGGATTTACTTGGCTATGGTGTTTTAGCCATTTTAATAAAGTTTTAGGATTCATCTTATTTTTATACTTGCACTCTTAAATTCCTCTTTTGTGGTAAGAAAGATAACTTAACTTAATTTGGTGTAGATTTCTAATCTTTCTTTGAAAGTGTGTTGGATGTGTATTTGTATTTGGTTTAAATTACATACTTTATGATTAATTTGTAGCACTCAATGTGTTGTGAGTAATGATCTTTATTTACACAACAACAATTTGAGTTGGAATCTAAATTAAATCCTAATGAATACTTTCATTTAAATTTCAAATAGCAAGTAGATCAAAATGTAGGTTCCAAGATAGAAACTTGCTAAAATCAATATTAAATCTGAATATAAATTGAATTACTATGTCACAAGTTACCTCTATTGAGAAATTTTAAAAAACAAAAATAGCTTTATTGAAATTTTTTGCCAAAAAATATTGTTCGTCTTGTTATTGGTTTAAGGTCTTCTTTCCAAGTTTTGAATCCATCATTTGATTTGCCTCCAAAATATATGTAATTATAGTATCACAATATAACTTGTCCAATATTTTTTTTATAAGCTCCTAATTCAAAAAAAAATTATATGGTTTTGTGCACAAGAACAAACCAGCAAAACTTTTGTAAAATTCCAAAGATTGAGACTCACTTAGAGAATGCTTAATTAGATATAGAAGATTCTTTTAACAATATAGATTATTCAATGCAATCACCTATTGTCCCTTCTTTGAATCTACAAACACATTCAAGGTGGTGGCTAATGTGGCAATAACTTCTCTTATATGACTACTTCTTTAATTGTTAATAATATCTTTGATATACTTAATATAGGTTGTCATTACAGACAAGAACTTCAAAATCTTCAATAAAAAATTAAATAAAAAACCAAGTTGCTTTTTAATTCTAGTAAGAGGTTTTTATTTCCTATGCGTGCTTTTAAAACAAAATTTTGTTGTGTAGTGCATCTATAATTGCACTTGCAATGGATTACAAACTTAGAAACCAAAATTTTAGATATAATGTTTTGTTGGATAATCTTCAATCTGATGGCATTGCCAATTACTATTTCTACTTTTTGTAAAATATTTTTTTAGAAATATTATTGATTTTTTTTATTTAAGTATTTATTTTTTTCATTATTTTTATTTATTTGATTTCATCTATTGTATAAAAATATTAACATATCTAATACTTTTTATTATAGTCATAATCATGAAGTCTAATTTAATAAAAACAAGTATGTCGTATATAGTGACTTAAAGTGATCATATAGATTTGATGTTTTTTTTATATTAATATTAAAATAAAATAAAACTTCTTGTTTATGTAGTATTAAATTTAAAGATTTAGTTCGAATTTCTATGTTTTTTTTTTAGTGAAGTATTGAGTTGTTTACAAAGTCCTTAAATTATAAATTTTATAATATAATCTATGGATTTTATAACAAGGAAAGTAGTAAGGATCATCAAGCTTTGAAAGACATAAAATTATTTTATTACTTGTATTTAAGTTGTAATAAAATTTTTAATAATAGATAAAATTATAGAAATTTATCTAGAATTAAAGAAAAAAAAATTTTGAGTTGATAAAAAAGTAATTGATATAGCAACCAACCATATAAATGAGACAATACTAGAAGATAAAAAAGACTCTAAGTACATCTAAAATCTTTGCCAATATATATATATATATATATATATATAATTGTTAAAGCCACACCTTTCTTTACTATCTCATGGTTACTTCTATCCATCTTTCATCTCAATACCTTATTCCCAATCTCATGTCTTTCATTTCCATCCTTGTTCCTTGTTCCATGTCTTCCTATTCCTCTTTCCTAGCCCCTTCATGCTTTGTTTGTTTTCTTTGCATAAATATAAATATGTTTGCAGATTTGACACATCATTCCTTGTTCCCTCTCCCTATATTAATATAAATATGTTTATATCTTTGAAACATCATCCCTTGTTTCATATCCCTACGTTTATATAAATATGTATGCAATTTTGAGGCATTGTCTTTTATTTTGTCTAAAGTGATCTAGAAAGCAGATATGATTTAGTAAAATTCACATCTTCAACAATGTATTTCTAACAATGTCGATTGTTAGATTCATGTAAAACCCAATCAAATGAAACTTCATGAATTTTTATTGTTAGGTATTTTTTTTGCCAAATACAGAGAAACAAAACAGACAAAAAGATACTAGAGTATTCTAATCAAGTAGTAATAATTGGTATGTGACTTGCTCTAAGCTGAACCGCATCAACATGCATCTACAATTGAATACAAATTTGTATCATTGTTGTATATAAACTCAAGTGATAGCATTAGATGAGCCAAAAGACATAGAAAAAAATATCAAAACAAGATGCTTTAAGTTGCCAAATCAAGATGATGCACTATGTAAACGTCATGGAGCTCTTACATTCTAGTGAGTAAGAGGTAGCAATCTGTAAGTGCAAGACACCAAGATGGAGGTCAAATGTTTTGCCACTAGAGCTAGCATTGTCATATAGAATTTATATTGCATCACATTGTAGCTATTTAGCCATAATAGATTGAAGTTCAAACAACAATCACTTCTTATTTCGATTGATTTTGCATCTTCGTTGATTCTACATCTTGGTTTCTAAATCTCAATTATGTAGACTAAATAAATAGTACTATCCAATTGAATAGTCTATTGTACAAACCTATTTGTTAATTAGATTAATTTATTGTATTTTATTTTATTTTATTAATTATATTTATTTTTCAATCTTATGAAACTAGATATGTAGAGCATGAATTTGTGACGATATTTTTAATAGCATGATTGTTAGAAAAACCTAAAAATTTGATATACCTCAAATAACTCATAATCAACTTTGACTCAAGTTAATAATTGTAAAATATAAATCATTAGAAGAAGATTGAATCGACTTCTCACCCATGGTACAAGTATCAACTATGTTTGAATGAGCTTGTAGATGATAATCAAGAAATATTAATCACATGGAAATTTTTTGAAACATGAGAAAGGACAAATGGATATGTTAATAAGAAGATATTCATATTGAAAATGTATAAACTATCAATGATGTTTGATAAAGTTGTTTAATGAAGTAAAAGTCTAATATGACAATAAAAAATGCAAAACCTATGGTGCAAAAGCTATGTTACATCAACATTAGTGTCCTTTAAATGAAGAATATGAGGTGTGCCTATCCTCTCAAAAATAATAAATGTGCACATATGTGTATATCTCTTATTTCGACAATGAGCTATTCTACATTTCGACATGAGGTGTGCCTATAGACATCTTATTTAGACAATGTTTTTTGGATCATTCTAGAGGAAATGAGGGACAATGCCTCAAAGCTGCAAACATATTCACATTAATGCATGGATAGGAAATGAGGAAAGAGAGGACATGGGATATGGAACAGGAATAGAAATGGAGAATTGGGAACATGGGACAGAGATGGAAGTAATCATGAGATGGCAAGGGGGATCCGATTTTAACAGAATTGGGATGTGGCTTTAACAACTCCCTACATATTGTTTGCTTTTTTAATGTGTTGAAAGGCAAAGACAATAGGAGACCCACAACGGGCAGAATTGAGAACATCTTGTGACTCTCAGGCAAGCTCAGAAAGGGCAGCAGGTGGGAAAGAGGGAATCCGATCTGGCGTCACGCTCACGGTGATAGGAACCGAAGAGACGGGGCACCAGCTCCACGGGTGTAGGACAAGAGCGTCCCAAGACCGTCCCCGACAGATGAAGGGCAATTAGACTGGCTGACTGACGGACTGGTCCCAAACCCTACAATCCTTCCATTCGACTCCAACTCCCGAGGTTGCCGTTGTTCCCCTTTCCCGTCCCGGATGCCCCACATGTGCCACAATATTCTCCAGAATCATGCCATCATGGGGGGCCAGATTTCCCACAATCAGCAGTAAGTATCCATCCCCGACTTTTCTTTAATCACGCCCCCGCTGCATCTCCCTCCTCCTCCTCTGCCTGCAATTCCCCCCCACTGGTGGAGCAACCCAATTTCTCCCCAAGTCGAAGTAGCAATTCCCCCCCTTCCTGCGCTGTTGCCGTTGCGTGCTCTAGATTGCCTGCTGCTGGGAGTTGTTTGCTGATTCCGATTCCTGGATACCATGACCATGAACGTCGACGAGGAGATTGGTCGCCTCAAGACCGAGATCGTTCGACTCGGCACGAAGAATGCCGACGGATCCATCACGGTGAGCACCCATTTCGTAATCTGGCGATCGTGGGCTGGTCGGTAGGCGCTCTCGTTGCCTTGTTCTGCGGGGATGAGAGTTTGGTGGGTGTCTTTGAGAATGTGGGTTGTTCTTAATTCTGTTACTTTCGTGCATCATTTGTTGTATCCACCTGGTGCTTGCTGCTCCCCGTGGCAAAATGGTCTTGATGGTGGTGTGTTTGAAAATAGGTTTCGGACGTTTTTCTGATTTGCCTTGAATTTCAAATTTCGTGACACATTTTTCCCTTGGTAATGTCAAATGTCTGCGGTGAATAACGGGGAGATTTTTCCGAAGGGTGTTACATCTCTACGGCTAGCGTTCAATGCTCCACATTAAGTTCCATGTCTTTGTGTTGGATGAGGGTTAAGCATCATATGAGATGTATAGCATTTTTGAAATAGAATTGGCCAAATGCAACCATGTTATTGAATTGTACTTCGTAGTCTCTTGCCTATGTGGTGACACAGATCTTGATGTGAATGTTGTGAATGTGGATATCGAAAACTGATATGCTTTGTAATGACTGTCTAATTATTTCCACCTAACCCTATCTGCCTGTGAACCTGCAGGTCAAGTTCGGCACATTATTCAACGATGAGAGATGTGCAAACATCTTCGAGGCTCTCGTTGGCACGTTGCGGGCTGCCAAGAAGAGGAAGATCGTGACCTTCAACTCCGAGATGCTTTTCCAAGGAGTACACAACAATGTGGACATTGTCCTTGTCAAGCTCGAGGAGGAAACCTCTGTGGCACCCAAACTCGACGATGCTGTGATCCCGAAAAATGAGACCAGTTCAGCACCGAAAGATGATAATGTGGTGGTCAAAGCTGACGATGTGATTCCGAAGGACGACGCTACTACATTGTAGTGTGTTGAACTCTTACCCTCGTCCAACACTTGCAACAATGTTGATTCGAAGTTCTTTGACCCCCTCAAATCATTTCTCCTGATTGCGCCTCACCTTCATTGTTGTGCTTCTACTAGTCACACACTTAGACTCCTTTGTGGTCAATAATTGCCCACATAGGTCTCCGTCGCGTACCCTTTCAAGTGGAAAGAGGATGTGCTTGCCACTTACGGCTACCAACAATGAGGAAAGAGATTTTGAGGGGTCCCTGCCTAGTGACTAGGTCTACGCCCTCTTTCGCTTGTGCCATGTTGCATTGCTCAATCTTGAAATTCTCAAATTTTCCAACTTCGCAACGGTCGTGAATGATGAGTATGATAAGTTGGCATTATGCAGATATTGTTATGTACTGGTTGTCAGAAGTGTTTTTCCGCGGCGTGCTTATGCTCTGTCTGACCCACATCCCAAACTTTGTTTTGCTGTCATACAAATTTATTTATTTATTTATTTATTGTTGAATTCGACTGTTCTATGTATCTGACGAAGTTCTGAAGAGTGTCTACTGTCTTGTCGATGGCATTTACTATTCTTCCCTAACCACTGACCTCGTGTTGTATCCATGTATGAGCCTGATGGGGCAGTGTAGGAGTCTTCCTGCTTGTAAACGTAAACAAGTCAGGCCCAATGCCAGGACTTAAGTCCGAATCGTTTTACAAGCGTGTGATTTAATTATAGATTTAATTATACCGTGTGAGGTTCGAACAATCCAAGTGCCATGATGACACAATCTGAGTTCCATCTACGTCGAAGCAGGATGAAATGAGAATCATCCTGAAAGCGCACATGGTCCTGACGAGAGATTCGACACGTTTGAGGCCCCCCCACCTGCTCTTGCTGGCTGTCTTCGTCTCAGCCCTTCCTATGACGAGGTGGGCCACTGTGAATTTCACCTTCCGAAAGCAATATTACGATTTTTGTAGTTACACCACAGCTCTCGAGTACCATAGAAATAAAGGTCAAGCACAGAATCTCCATTTGCCCAGAAGACCACCAGTCACACCTTACAGACGTGATCAAATGGAGACCTTCGAACCACCAATGCAGTTATTTCTGAAGCTCTGAAGTATTCAAAGCTTTCAAGGCACTTACATTACCCTTTTTACATTTTTCTGTGTGTATGGCTCTCACGCTCCTCCAAAGTCGTTATCTGCCAGTAATCATCCTCTGCACAACGCGGGGCCCATTGCGGCAGTTGCGAAAGCTGTGGCCAAGAAAACTGAACCTATTTCACGCAGCATCTGAGGGAATGAAAAGGATGGATGAATTATGGTATTGGATGAACAATGAATTATGGATGAATGCTGAGGAAGTCTTCCACAACAAAAAGCCAGCATTCCTCCACGTGGCGTGATCGCAGTGCTCCACCAGTTTCGAATCGAAAGTGACGTGGATTTCCATCAGCACTAAAGTGAAAAGGGAGCTGGTTCGAAACGAATGACCTGTTCAACCTGACGTGGCAATGACATGTGCCGTAAGCTGACGTGGTGGGGTCTTGCCCTTGCGGTCGATTTGCCTCTTGCCATGTGGATATGTTCATGTGAGTAAAGGCCTTTCAATTCCCTTTCCTCTAGGGAATTCCTTCATTGTGATACCCCTATAAAGCCACCCCTTCATTATTGAAAATAGTATGGAGTGGTGTGTGGGCCAATTCATGTGTTTCCATTCACCCGTTTTTACAAACAAAACATGCATTTCAATTCTAGGGATTTTTATTTTTATATTGGACGTGAGGTAGGAAACCACACATGGTAGTTGAATCCAATCATGAATTCAACATGAATAATATTTCACCAACATGTGTAAGTTCCATAACTGAATATATGTAAATAAAGAATTGGTATCTTTAATTGCATTCAAATGTGTAGAATAATTAGAAATTTGTATTTTTCAATATGTTTAGAGGTGAACAATTTGTGCAAACTAAAAAATGATAGTTTGAATAGTTTACTTGCTTACAAATAAAAAATAAGACAAGCATGTGTCACATTAAAAAAAATATATAGATATATTTAAAATGACAAGAATATAAATATTGTTTTGAAAGTAAATATGTAATTCTAAAAATAAATCACAAATGATTTTACAATAACTAAATTTTTGATAAAATAGAAATTAAAACCAAATATATCGAAATTTTACTTTATAAGTCTATCAAAATAAAAAAATTAAAATAAAAGTAAATAAAGTAAAATTTATTGCCGTTAAACTACTTTATATTATTTGGAGCTAATTGGTGAAGTGATTAATTTGCTACTCTATGGTCCTTAAACTACCTTACAAACATTTTAAAATACCAAATTAGAAATAAATCGCTATTTATTCAAATATTATATATATATATATATATATATATATATATGATAATATTAGTAAGCATGTTATTAAAGATCATTTTATTAAACTAAGTATATATATATATATATATATATATTTATATATATACACCATGTTGGTATTCATTGAGTGTATAGTATATATTTTAATTTTGTGACATAAGAAAATTATTAATTTATTCAATTTTAAATAAATATGTAAATAAAATTTACATATGCTATTAATTTAACAGTTATGAATACTGTTAAAAAGAAAATTTTCAAATCAATTTCAACCTTCCTCATGTGATTATTATTAGTTCTTTGAGCCTTTATTTAATATTTGAATTTTTTTTACCTTTTCAATTTTAAAAAACTACCTTTTAGAGTTTACAACATGCTCAATTATGAATTCTATTTGAAATATAGAAATTGAGAGAAGGATACAAACTTAAACATAAACTCAATTTTTTTATTAAATTAATATTTTAAAAATTTAATATAAAAAATAATAAGTTTTACGAATTAAATATTGAATACATAATAACCTTTCAATCTAATTTTTTCAAAGAGTTTTAAAAACTTGGTTCATAAAAACCATCTTTTCAAAACTCCAAAATCTAAAATCACTAGAAACTAAAATATTTAGTATCTAGCATTAAGAATCATACATATAGAGGTCTAAAATTTGTCTTATATATCTTGTAATTCACAAAGATTTTATATCTAGATACAATTAGTTAAATGTGTTGTAATTTTTATCAAAATTTTATTCTTTATTAATTTATTAAATTATCTAATTAAAATTTTAATATAAAAATTATAACATCAATTATATTATAATAATAATTTTTAAATAATAGAATGATCAAATTTAAAATTTAATTACAATCTTGAGCTAAGTATTTTGTTATTATAAAGTTGGATTTAAATATATTTATTCAAAAAAGTAAAATTTTATCTTGAATTTTACATTAATACATACATATATATATATATATATATATATATATATATATTTATCAATTAATTGAATTTTTTTTATTTTTTTAAGTTTATATATCTAAAGAAAAAATATTTAAATATTTATTCTATTTAAATACTAAGTATTAAATTATATTAGTAAAAAAAATACAATTGACTAATTTTATAATATCAAAATTTAAATTAATTTTTGAAATTTTTTTAGATGAATTTATTATTTTTAGCAATATTAAAATTTTTAACTGAAATTTTGTGGTTGCATATTTATTTATAAATCATTTGAATATTTATGATCAATAAATTTAAAGTAATATGAATTACAAAGAATTTTTTAATTATATGACATTTTTTGTATGTAATTTGATGAAAAAACTTTCACCAAATTAAAAGAAGTAAACAAATAAATATTATTTAAATTATTGTTTTATGGATGATCTTAGTTCATCCATTATAATTGTTCATTCAAATGATAAATAAATAGAATCCTATTATGGACATACATATTTATTTTAATATTTACCTATATGATTAAATAGAAGTAGATAAAAATAAATTTATTTCATGATAATTTCTAGAAAAGCTTCATAGATGCTGTTTTGTCTTTATATGTGTTTGTAGTTGATTGGTAGGTTAGAAATTATGTTAATAAGTTAACCATGTCTTGATAGCTTGCAAAACAAGCTAACTATGTGGCGCACATTTAGAAAACTTACCTTATAAGTTAAGATACATGTCTGGCAAAGTCAACACATTTTGGAGGTGCTATAAGATATTGCCACGTAGCTTCTAGTTAAGAGTATATATGGAGGCAAGAATAAAGCCTTCTTTGCTCTTGTCAACGCCTTTCTAGTTCTTAGTCTTGTTTCAAGACTTTCTAGTCTTTTTGTCTTTAGCAATAGCCATTCTACTGTAATACTATATCAACTTTGAATGACTTTCTAGTCTTTTCAAGTAACACAAGAGTGTATTGATATTTTATTTCTTTGAGGTTCATGTCCTTGACAATTTGACAAGAGTGCTAATTTATTTTTCTTATCTTATTTTAGAAGTGAATGAATTACTCTACTTCTATTATTATATTTTGAAGGTTGGAGATTATCTACCTTTAAATAAACTATTTAATTTTCTAACACTAATTTTTCTCTTTAAAGACAACAAATTATCATTCTTTGTAGAAATTTTCATTCAATATTAGAGATTGTAAATAACCTTCTTTTAATTTGATTAGTTGATTTGTTAAGTTGTTTAAAATGGAAGAAAAAATCATGGATGCTATACTTGGTGGAAGTGAGAATAGATTTGCAACCATTGCAGATCTTCACAAACTTGTTAATATTCTTAGAATCGAATTTATATGTTTTACTAGTGCCAACCATGGAAACACTAATCCTACGCCTATAGAAGAAGTTCGAAATCTACATTCAAAAGTTATACAATTAAAAGAAGCAAGTAAATCAATCTTACAACAAAATTCAAGAAAATTTGCTTTTATAAGTATGGTGGAGACACGGATTAGTATGCTCAATAATTTTGATGGAACAAGATCAAAATTTTGAGGATTTTTGCAACAAGTCAAGCTCTGTTTAAGGTTGCATCTTTACCAATTTTATAATGTATTACTCAAGTTCAATTCATAGGAGCATTTCTATCTTGAAGTGCTCTCTCTTGGTTTGTTTTATAATGAAAAAGGATTTACAACTCTTTTATGATTTGAATTAATTCCTAGAAGTTCTTATGGCTATATTTAAAAAAAGTGATTGAAAAAAATTGGAGAGACCAAGTTCTTATCTTTAAGATGTCGGGATAGAGAGAGTTTGCCTTAAAAAAGTATTGGGCTTCTAACTGTCATTAATTGCTTAATTAAGCCTCAAGTTCAAAAAAAAGTATCAAGTTTTTATATATAAAATTATTCCTATAGGGGCAATTACATCAATACACAAGTCTTAAGTATCAAAGATAATAAAAAATATGATAAAAATATTATAAAACCTTATA